TCACTTAAAAAATGGAACTTGATGTGTTTATGAAAACAAGATTCTGACCAAATTTTCTTTGCTACCAGCGTAGGAGAATCAATGAACCATGAGTATCTTTTAAAAACTCTCCTGGGAGTCCCGCTTCCCAGCAGACTGCCGAAGAATCTGTTTTGTATGTAGGTATTTGAAACGTTACAACAAACATCAGAAACAGAAAAAGATTTATTAGAAATATTACACAGATTTTTGCATCATACATTTTAATAATGTTAATCTTTAAATATTAGCATGTCCAAATCTGGCAATGCCTAGTATATACATTCTAATGTGCTCTTTGTATAAATTAGATTACGATGTAACATCTGTACCCAAAAGAGAAAGCTAAAAGTACTTGACTGTTAGAGGTGATTATCCCATATGACAAACTCAAGCCTGGACCAACAATCAATAAAAACGTTGTGTCCAGCACTGCCCAGTGGAACTTGGCACACGTGCAAGTCAAAAATGTAGAGACCATCAGCTGAGAAAAATGTTAATTGCAGTTCAGTTATAAGCTCGATTCTACACCATATTGGTAAGTGAGTCTAAATGGCACTGGAGTTGGTAAGAACTAATATAGTCTAGCATAGTAGAAGTTATTGCTGGGTTTAAAAATGTCTTAACGCTCAGTGCCCTGAGTCTTTTTAGGCAAAAGCCCTCTTCTGACAGGAAAATGCATAATCTCATCCCATACAGACTCTGCTTTTTATCAGACACACAAGGCACAGCTTTGCAAACAGCTGGCCCCGTCAGATACTTCCTGCTGGAAGACCCCGTACCGTAAGCACGGGAAGATGAGGCTGGTACAAACAAACTAATGAGCCAATGCTCGTATTTTCATCGCCGAGGAAGGGAGAAAGTCGGTGAAGCAAAAAAGGCAGATTTTGAAGAGTTCCAGGTCAGGAATCAAACAGGGAAGAACCGATCATTCTGCCAGTTTGCACTTATTTGGTTTGGACAGAAAACTTGCACATAACTGGTTGCACATACAAAACGAGAAAAATCATAGAGGAAACCTGTAAAAAACAACTTCAAATTACAAAAAGAAAACCTGCCAAAACTCAAAGAGAATGTGTCTCACTGAGAGGAAACCAGAGAACATGCATAAGTCAAAAATCACTCTGCTTAGTACGGCTGCCTTGCTGCAGCACAGGAAGAACCAGGAAATCTTTGTCCCCTTTGCATTTCTGTGACTGTCACAGGCACAGAAGGGGAACCTGGCAAAGGCAGCAAGCTCTCCGCTCTCTTCCCTCCTCATCTTCTGAGATCCACCCCAGGCTGTGCTCTTAGGAGAAATGTCACTCAAGATGACAGCCAGTAAGGACTCTCAAGCTTGTCCTTCGCTGTCCACAACGGCCCAGGTAGGTATGTCCCATATATGCCCCTCTCCTCACACGCCAGACTTTCACTCTATTCAGTTTCATTGCATACTTTCAGAAACAGCTCATCAGCCTTTCCAGAAAACCTTCTTAGAGGGCTGACTCTGGGCTCGCTTCTCAACGCCTCTGTACCTTCCCAAGCCATGAAACAATTTGTACTTTCTATGACTCACCAGAAATTCTGGGAGTCAGATTGTATACTTTTCACACTTTAATCTCCTTTCCTCTCTAACAGCTATAGTACAACAGTCACACAATGCGATATCCCTCCATGGAACTTCACGGAAATCCCCATCCTAACCATTCTTCTCACGTGCTCATCCAAAATCAGCTATTTGGTTTCTTGTAGTCCAGCAGACTACCCAAGTACACATATACAAGCATGTGCAGGTATGTTTAAGAGTGACTGTATAGTTAGGGAGCATATGGTGACATGGTAAAGAGATTTCATCTGCCTGAATCAGGGAAAGATCCATTACTCCTAAGAGGCAAAGTCAGGAAGGATTCAGGCAGTTTAGGCAAACTGTTAACTGATACAACGCATTACACCATCCATGTCATATCATCACATGTTCCATTCTAGGACATTTTCAAAGGATTCTCAGAACTTCTATGAAGACTATCCCTGTACCCTCTAGCTTAACTTAATGACAAACTCTCTAATTTTAAAGGCAGCCAGAACTTTAATTTTGCAGTTCAAATTTGAGATGTCTTACAAGGGCCTGTAGATTTTCTGAAAATCAGGCTAGTCTGCAGCATCTTGTGTGGGTCAAATTTAAATTCATATTCAAATTTTAAGGCAGCATGAAAAAACAACAGTAATTTCTCAAAATCCAGATCTAGAAATGTAACTGTGCAAGGTTCAAAAGGAAGAAAAAATACACAACATTGTAAGAGTTAAATGAACAAATAACCAATATTCTTAATCTCAAAAAATAATCTGGAAGAGCATCTCAATCTCCAAGTATCAGCATTTCAACATGAGATATTTTGCAGGTTTGAGGACTGAAAAGTAACATTGAACAGATAGCGAAACTGAGTATCTTCTTCCCTACTGACAGACACCTCCTTGTTCTAACTCCTAAATAAGTAAAAAACTTTTAAGAATATACCATTAGAATTGGGTAGAATTAGCGTTTGGTCTATGCTACTGGGGGGCAGGGGAGAATAAGCTGCAAAGAGATGACAGAAACATTGCTTTGCAAAAATAATTAAAAAAAAAAAGCTGCTAGATCAAACAGAATGTTTTGTAAGGTTAGAGTAAGTCTTGGAGAAACAGATTAGAATAAATGTCGGAACAGTGCTTGAAGCAAATGATACTGACACATTAGATAACATACATATTTAGTGTACATCTGACAGTCACATGGAACACACACTTCCAGTGACCAGAGGGTTAAAATTATCTTTCTTTTTTAGATCAAGTGGAGCCCTCTGACTTTGAAATGTTTACCAGACGCTGGGAATTAAAACAGTTTTTCTCATCCCTGCAAGTGCCCGATCCAAAGCCCACTGAGGAATATGGAATTTTCTGTGTTGACTTCACTACGCTTTGAACTACAGCCCATTGGAGAGAATTGGGTTCTCTGCCAACAGATACCTCAAGGGAAAAGAGCCTGCTGCATCCACAAGGCAATGGAGCTCTGCAGTGTGACTGCCTTCCTAAATGAACTATGCTTAGCAGCTATTTTTCTCTTCCATCTTATCACATAACAGAAGACTTGTATCTGAGAACACTTAGAGCAACTTATCCTATGCTCCCTAGGGATGGCAGAGTGTGTGCTGAAAAAAAATGGAGAGTTTATTCAATCTAGAAAGCACTCTCTTGCAAAGAAATAACTCTGGCCAGCACTTAAAACTGCTTTCTCACAGTATAGGATGACACAAAGAGTGCAAGGGCACTGTAAGTGCGTGCCACTGTCCTTTTTTATCACACAGACTCTCAAAAGATTGGACTCAGACTTTTCTGGGGGCGATGGATTAGAATAAATGTCAAACTAAAACTAAGAGCAAGTGATGCTTTTCTCCTCCTGCGAAATAGGCATACACTGCATTCCTCCAAGTTCCTTTCTATTCAGTACACTCACTCACCTTGGCCACTGTCATCTATCCCTTAATCCTGTATTTTGCTGCGAGAAAACCAAAGTCTGAAACAGGTTGTTTACTAATTAAAATGTGTTGAAAAACCCCAAACAACAAAGCACTGTGGGGAAGCCAGAGGCTGAGGATCAGCCACCTGCAAAGCCCCAGAAAACCTGAAACCAAGTTCCTTCTGTGAAATCACTTGTTTCTATTTCATGAGCCTTTTTCCAGGAGTTAAGAGCAGTGAGCACACACTATTATTTTTTGTGAGAGAGAAATGATCCCTAGCTCCCTACGATTAACACTCACAAAGCATCAAGTCTGGTCACAGGGTGAAACATGCTAACTAAACAACAACTTTCTTCTACCAGCATAATCTAAAGCAGCTAGGCAGCCTTCTATGAGGTCCTGTACAAAGCATGTTCCCCAAGACCCGCTCCTAGAACAAATTAAGCACCCTGTTTGATCCTGCTATCCTTAGAGACAAACAGAAAATTTAATTTCATAAGGTGAAATAAGAGAAACGGTATAATGGAAATTAAACCGTATCTTTCAAACATTTTACTAAGGGTATTATTGAGCTGGAAAACTATTCTCTGGCGCCTTGGAGATTTCCACGAGACAGAGAGGGGTTCCAGTACAGTCTTTGTAACTTGTGAGGTTGCAACTTCCATGGGTACTAATGTATTACTGTGTTCCTTTACAGGGTAACATCACTTCCAAGCATGTAACAGTGTCCTATGGGCTACATTTTATTGGACAGGGCACAGGCTGCCTCAAGATTCATGCCTCTACACAGCAATCACGTATCTGTGCTGGTTATACAGGATCAACACAGAATAAAGAAGTTACTCCACTCAATCCACAAAAATATGAACTACTGAGATATCACTGTATTGCTTAGAGAGTCATCACCTGATTACTGGCACCTTGCAAACTAAAGCCAGTAAATTGCATTTGCAATATTCCTGTGATAACTGTGCCTGCACAGTCAGCTGGGAAACCAAGCTCTGGCTTCCCATAGTAATCAAGTAATGAAGTTGTAGTAATAAACCTATTTTTCCTCAAAGAGATTACTTCTGTTAATCTGAAAAATGAAGTCCCAGCACCTAACAGGATCTTTTAGAGTTCTTTCACTAACTGGTGATGGAACAGAGCGTGGTTTCTGAGTTACAAATGATCCTATTATTATCCTGCTGGTTAAGCTATGACAAGCAAACTAGTATACTTAGTGGATCAGATGTGTGAGAATAACTCAGGTTAAGGTTCTACAGACCTATGTGCATGTCATGATGTTTTATAAAATATATGGAGGCAAGAAAACAACACGTATTCGGGATGAGTTAAGCATGTTTTGGCAAGAAGAGCATTTTTGTGAGCTTTTGTATTAATATTAATCTCCCAGCCTCCCTTGAGTGCCAGCATAGTCCACACTGATTTAGAACTTCATTCTGTAGCAGGTCTCCTGTTGATGGAGTCTGGTTTGAGGCAAACATTGTTTAGCGCAAGGGATCCTCTTCAGAAATATCCCACGCGTATTTGAAAATGCCTTGCAATTTCCATGTGGGAGTAAAATTACAGATGAATTTGGTTTGTATAGATGGACAATGGATATTTATTTGGTTGCAGTCCCAGATGTAATCAAAATTATGGAAGAGCTTTCTTTCAAAGTAAGAGCTTAGGTTGGTTGTGGAAGAGGAGCAAGCGGATTTTTAAAGTGATCGAGTGCATCTGTAGCATTCTTTGTTCTCTTCCCCACTTCTGTCCACCTCTTGCTCTGCATCTCAGGTCTCAAAGTACTTGTAAATCTGGGCGACATACTGCATCACACTCTGCCAGTCTGGCCGGTCTGTGTACATCATCTCACTGAGCTCCTGCATAGGACAGACACATTGTCAAAACTTAGTCAAGCACCACCACTGGGAACATCACTGGGTGCTCTGAGTAGCTGTGGCTATTGAACACTACTTCTGCTTCCACTCCAGAGCTCCTTAAAGCCACGTACAGTATAAAAGTCCATGGGAATATCTACTGGCCTAGTGCAGTTCTGAAACTTGTTAACAAACTAGTTAAACAGCCATATGCCTTTTACATTCTGAAAAGATTTCCTCCACCTGCAATCAAAGATCAATTCTCTATATAATTCCATTTAAATTGCTGCTTCTTTGCATGTCTTTGGTTCTGTATTTAGCTCATGAACCCCATAATATTTTTTCCTTCATATTAAACTTATCTCTTCCGTGTCATCATATTACTGACTTTGGAAAAGGCTTTTTAAACAGTTTAACAAACAAATTACCCTTCTGTTTCTTGAAACGCTAAAACAAAAGGAAAGAAAATGGTCTAACAGGCAAGTCTGCCCATGAAAATAGGAATCATCTGGAATCAGCTTCCAAGCAGAGGACATAATCAATACTCTCATTTCAATACTAGATGACCTCCAGAAGTTCCTTCAAATTATATTAATTCTATGATTCTAGAAATTCTTCCTGGAAGTTCTCCTAACTCTATGAACTTTCAGACATGACGGTGCAGCCTTCCCTAGTGCTATGTGAACATTTTCAGTGCAAGCTGACTGACTAACCACATGGCAACAAAGGCTTTGGAACAGCATGTGCAGCAAATCTTCCCTTGCTAAAAGAAGGTTACTCACCAGGCTGGGTTTGATGCCTACACTTTCAGCAGCTTGAAATGCTAACAGCAGATTTCTCTTCTGTAAAAATAAAACAAAAGTTCAAAAGGATTATCATCAAAGTATGATTCCTGAACCCTACCCCGCAGCTGGTTAATCAGTAAGTTTAAATAAGCAGGTATATTTGAAAACTGAAAAACACTAGATTCAATACTTCCACATAGACACCTTTTTGTATTAGTAAAGTATACTCACAAACAAGTTCTTTGTCTTTAAATAGCTCATCTACTTTTGCCCAAGCTACAGCCCTCTGTTTTTGACAAATAGGTTCTTGTGAAACTGATTACAACTGGGCAAAAAACCCCGCTGAGGTTCTGTCTTTATTATGAGTGAAAGGTTTCTGAAGGGGTGTGAACTAAATAAGGCATTCCTGTATACAGTATAATTCTTATTGTAATAGATAGTAGCCGTCTGAAGTAAATCCAGTAAATCCAGGTTCCTCCCCTTTGTGAGGGTCTTAATAACATTTTTAGAATGCGCTGACATGGTCTGACTTTCAGATACGTCGCTGTCCAAGTAGTTCAATGAATGATCTGTCTGCTTACTGATCCAGCACTTCTCATGTGTGCTGCTAACTCAGGAGTCCAAAAATGCTTTAGCCTTTCAAAAGGGATGCTGTCTTCATCTTTAGCTGCAGCACTCACTGGATTCAGGCAACTTGTCACTAACTCTTTATCCAGCAGTCCCCGCATTTTGCTCTGGGAGCTCACTGTTGGTTTCCTTCCCCTCTTCATCCAGTGTGTTTGCTTTTTAAGTTCTCAACTGACACCTGTCTCTTACTGTTGCTCCCATCTACTTATTTTGTATCAATCAAGATCTTGCAACACTGTGTCTCCACCACATACCCCTCAAACCAGATAATGTTCACCATGAATTCTGCAAATGGTGTAAGCAGCCCGTACAACACCACTTACTTTATCCTGGCTGTTGAGCTCCTGATAAGGAATATGTGCAGGCAAATACGTGTGCAGGAGAGCGCAGAAAGCCAGCCCATCACTCCAGCTGCTGCTGAAGTTGGTAATATCAATATTCTGTAAGAGAAAACATGAACCATCCCTGAAGAGTGCTGCAAAATAACAAAAATCTCCAAACAATAGTTTTTATGCAATCATGAAACAAAATCTCAGAGTATTAAAGGAACACAGATTTACATCTTCCATTCTCCCCTTGTTTTTCACGTCAGGTAGAAAGATATCAAATAGGATGGCAAGTTTCAACATCCCGGATAAGGGATTATTAAGGAGTTATACGTTTTTCACACCAGGCCTCAAAGAGACTCTCTCCAATGCTTTCTAGAAGGTGAGAAATACCATGGGCAGAACACACTGCAGCTGCAATTTTCCTGTGCTAGCAGGAAGTACTTTATCTGGTCCCTTTCAATTACAGAATGGCAGAGAGATGGTTTCTCCAGCACCTACAACAGAAGTCACTGACATTTTAAATTGGTGTTTTGTAATTGATTTCATGCTTCCTTGTCTCAGGATGTGTTACAGAAGGATGGATTTGTAGAATGATGAGGCAGTGTAATCAGTGTATTTGTCCACTGTTATCTTTCTGATATTACACAGCAGATACATGCTTTAATGAGAATGTGTAATTAACAATTATGACTTGATTCAGCCCCTTATCAAAAGTCGTATCAAGCTGATGAAATACTAACATAGTCCTCAAGCCCTAAATAAAGAATGTGCTTACTTGTATGAGAGTGGGAGGCTTGAACTTGGCAACAGCAACAGCTGAATGGGCAGCTTTCCAAGAGCTGGGCAGATGTGCCCAGTTTGCAGTCATTTGCATGAATGCATGTCTGCATTCTCATATTCTTTATCAGTGCAGCATCTTTCGTCTGCACATCACAGAGCACTTAAGAAAGGCAGATAAAGAATGGAAGTCTGAGATATAGAATTTAATCATCTACCCTAGTTCACAAAATGAGCTGTAAGCAGTTGAGGAAGGAACAGAGGTTTCCTGATGCTCACTCTTCTCCTACCACCCATAGCCACTGACAAATAAATGTGGCTGCATCACTGGTAACAAGTACAATACAAGATCCTTACAGAACAGAAACAAACAGAAACCTTTAAATCTTGTCTTCACACATTTCCTGACATGACAACAAGGCTGAGTTTGCTTGAGAAATCTATGTTTCAGGGGGCATGGATATATTAATAAACACCCAATTGAAACCCCAGAGCTGAGCTAGAGAAATCTCTGACTTTCTAGCAATGCTCCCACCACTGCCAGCTCCAATAGGAGGACAGTGAAAAGGAAACATTTTCAAAGAAATAGTCTAATATGGTTGCGATTTTAAATGGTCAAAAACCATCTTCCTTCCCCTTGTTGCTAGATGGTGGGATTCTTCTTTGCTAGTCATGTAGCTTATCACAAGGTGCACTCAGGTGCACAGAGGAAACCCAGTTTCCCTACTCATGACAACTGAAGTCCAGAACGTGCTACGTTCAACAGGTGGATTAGAATGATTACAGAAACAGAAACTGATATTTTAACATCAGCCCACCTGTAAAGAACTCCTTTAAAATACAAAGATTACTGGGGGTACATAGTGCTCTCGGGGTTCTTCACAGGGATTCTCTTGCGAGGCACAGCTGTAGTTAAACATACACTTGTGGCCAGTTCTGATCCTGCGAACAAGGTGACCTTTCTAATGCTCTAGTTTGCACTGACTGGCCATACCAGCACACTAATGAATTCTCATGGCTAAGTTTTGCCGCTGTAGTAGCAGCTCTAGTTCCAAATACCAGCTAAAAACAAAACAGCGAACTAAGTAACAGCTGCTGGAGCATGGAAGGCTCCAGGTATGATGGTACCGCACCAACTCTCACACTACACGGCCGGTGTGGAGCTACCCTCAAATCATGTTGCCAGCCCCATCTTCCTGGGTGCTAAACTTCAACTCAGACTCTGCCACTTCATTTTGTTTATTCAGCTATTTTCCGGTTTCTTTCAAGATTCCCCAAAAGACAACGCTTTTACTCCACCTCTCATACGAAAGCTAATGCAGATGCACTAAAACCCAGGCAGGAAGTATTTTAGCATATGCTCTTCACTTATGGTGCCTCACTGATTAGCTGACCAACCTGGACTTTGTCCAGTCAGACAGGATTTCAGGTTAGTCATAGATGTCCATAACCAAACATAACTCAAATTGAAGCAGTACAGAACATTTCAGGTCAAAATACTCTGGCTGTAATAAATCTACAGATCTAATGGGCTCAGAAAAGCAGGCCATCAGCAGCAGACATTACCGCACTGCACCAGCCACCACATTGTATTTTGCTCTATTAACATCTGTCAATGGAGATAAAAGAAAAGCGACATAGTGGCTGAATACCATCACAAGAAAAAATCATTTTGCTCCGAAAGCTGTCTTGGCTTTGCCTAATCCATAAAGTCGCACCATGGAAGTCCAACTTTGTGTTATGGAATTGACTGAAGCTGGATTACTCTGCTTGACGTTTCAGACAAACAAGTTACTATTTATCAATCTGCAGTTAGTGAGAAAGGACTGACTGCCAAATGACAGAAGTGTTTTTAACGAGGCCAATATGTTTTATCAGCAAATAGCCTACCATCAAATGCCAATATTGTCATTGCATATTGTATGATAGAAATGGAAAATGGAGGTCATACCCCACCTGGCCCCGCTAAAGGCCATGGAAACAGGAACAAACAAAGCCCTAGTAAAGCAACAGGACTAGACAAAAAGGCAAGACATGTTTGTGTGGGAACATTATATCCTATCCTCATTTTCATGATGTTATTATGAGAGACACATGGAGATACAAAACTGTTCCTTCCTACAGTATTTCACCAGCCCAGCATCAGTTTGATAATTTTACTTACCTTCGTAGCTTTAACTATACCTAAAACTCTTCTTCTCCTCCCATCTAACAATATCTAGAGACAAGAAGTGCTAATGTCTACAATAAAATCAGAATTAGGTCCAAAAATCCTCACATGTCCAACAGCATTGTCCAGCCAGTCATCTTCAGTAATTCTTAGATCCAAGTCTTACAAACAAGTAAAAGTTCAAGGATGGGGTTCTGCTGACAATATTTAAACCATGGATGAAATCTACTGCAAAGCAGTATGTCACGACCAACAGCGAAAACGAACTCAAATCTGAATTTTTGTCCTAAATGTAAATCCAAAATGAATGTTTGAAGGTTCAGCTCAACTGTTCAGTTAATAGTAGAACAAAAAACACTCAGACATACTCAAAACCACTTAGTTGCCATTTTCACATCCAACAAGCATCAGTGAATTGTGGGTTTTTCCTCTAAACAAATGCATTTCCATTTCATACATGGTATAAAACCCTCTCTGGCATTTCATCTTGGATTCTGTGTTAACTGCTTTTCAGTTTGGGATATAAGGACATAGTAAATGAAAAGTGATCTTCTGTGTTTTGCTACACCGCAGCTTTACTTGTAATACCTCCCCACTACACCACACCAAGAGGAATTAAGTCAAAATAGAGGCACTCTGATTTCTCAGAAGACCTCTGGCTCCGCTGAAGCCAGGAAAAAAAAAAAGGAAAACAATTTATGGAATGAAAACCTTGGAAACGATTCACTTCTCTTGATTATTTTGGCAGTAGAACTTGTCTCAGTCTTTCTGCCACACCTCTCTATTCCTCAACACACAGTCCATGACTATGTGGGAGCTATTTGTATACATGCTGGTTGTTAATGTACACTTCCAAACTGCAGGATGGAGAGTTTGGCGATTTCTCTGTCTCCCAGTGTGCTTACAGCAGAACCTCCAATCCAGGCTCTAAAAAACTACATGTGGCTTCTCATGAGAGACCTAGAAGTTAACCTATATAGGATAGCACCCTTTAGGAGGAAGATGCACCATCAGAGCGTATGCAGAATGAATGTAGGGAGAAATATGAAAATGGAATAGGGACTGCAGATCAAACTGAGCTGTAGCGCTCATTAGGCAGGCTGAAAAATTTGCCAGCTTTTGGTCACAGTACGTCTCATGGTCACTAGTACCCCAATGTCTATCTTTAGCATGCTATCAGTGGATCCACGCTGCTAAAGACATCTGCACCAGAGATTAACCCCTGGCCCATGGGTCAAGGCATGCCGAGTAGCTTAGGTCTGCAGCGCTCAGGGTTACTAGCTTCTTTTAGAGCAGACATATCATATCCATATTATGCAGCACTTGACCTGGGTCTTCCCTGGTGCTGCTAAGAAAATAACTGGGGAGGTGGGGGTGGTGTAGTTGAAAATCTTGAAAGAACATGAAAGTCAGGCCAGAAGAGAGGTGTTTTTATAGCATGATGACATAACCATCTTTACATACCCTGTGTGGAGTGGCAAAAAGGAGCACGGAAAGATATGAGGGCACAAAGATTGCTGGGATAGTGATAGAGTACTGTGTAGAGCATAGAGGTGTCCAGACTAAACTATTTCCAGTGTAGTTCCCAGGCTTCTTGTCAGGGAAAATAGTTCATTCACTTCAAATGAAAGCTTGAAGCTAGCCTGGAACTCTGTGGAAGAAAGCCTGCAATAAATACGACCTTAGCATCATTCTTCCCACCCTGCCCCCTCAGCATACAACATGCCCTCCTGCCTCTCAGAAGTCATTAACCTTAGCCCCCCACCCCAGGAACAGGACCTTTGCTTGCAGATAACGGAGTGCTATGAGAGCCACGGTAAAGACACACAGGGAAATCTGTGTGATCTGTTCTCACTAAAAACAATGTCTTGTTTATCTGAGGGAAAAACAACCACCCCATTAGATTTCACTAGATCTTTGTCTCCAAGTCTTCAGTAAAAAGCAACAATGACATCGTCCGCTCTTCATTATAGCCTGAGCACGTTAAAATACTGACACAAGATATTCCCACTACACAGATGTTACTGTGCCCACAGCAATGGCTCTCTGAGTCATAATTTGCTCTGTAAGACCCAGAATTATAAATTATAAACATGAATCAGCTTGAAGCTATCCTAGAATTCTGTGGAAGAAAGCCTGCAATAAATATGACCGTAGCACCATT